TGTCCCTCAGCTCTTCTGCTCAAGGCTAGTGCTCTACCACTTGAGCCACAGTGCCACTTCCGGCTTTTTTTTTCCCCTACTTATGTGGTGCTGAGGAATCGAACCCAGGGCTTCAGGCATGCAAGGCAAGCGCTCTACCACTGAGCCACCTTCCCAGCCGTATCAAAGAGAAAATTTTTTGACCTAGAATGATTAAAAGATAAAAGAACAAAGTAGATGAGAGTCTATGTTCTCATAGGTTTCATGCTGAAGAACTTAATCTCCAGACGAACTATTCAGGTATTCTCTGCAGTCTGGGAGGAAAGTCATTTCCACACTCTGTGGAAAGTCATTTTTCTTTAACACATAGGTCTTTCTGGGCATTCTAAATTCAAATGACAACATCGTCACCAATGACAATGACTTGTCCAGGGATCGAAGCAGCTAGATATTTCTATAAATTCTAATCAGGTCTCAGCAGACTAAAAATTTTATGGAATTCCTTTTAAAATATTTTCTTGCAGAGGGAGTGGGTCTTTATACTACAAATGTGTATATCTGTGTATTTGTATGTGTGTATGTGTGTTTGAATAAACTAATATAACAATGTAGCAGATAAAAGTAAAAAAAAAAAAATTCTTGTCCTGAAGAATCCCCTAGAGTGCTCTTTAAAATGAAGACCTGGGCCCCACTCCTCAAGAATAGAATTGAGTGGATCAGGGGTTACCTAGGAGTCTAAGTAGAAAAAAACAAAACAAAACAAATGAAATGCCAAAACCTTTCTGGTGAATCCAAGTAGTCCTCAGACCACACTTTTGAGAAATCATCTCGAATATGGTGTTTTCTGGCTCCAGCTAAAGTTCTACCTCCTTGTTTCTCTCCCAACTACAGCCTCAGGAAGCTAAATGTCTATAGCTAAATGTCTCTTCCTGAGAAGAAACAATTATACTAGAGTTTCAGAATAACAGTTTTTTAAAAGCTTTTTTTTATTATTACCTTTAAGTAGTTGTACAAAGGAGTAACCATTCAACAAAGCAGTTTATGATACAATGTCTTGATCAATGTTAGTCAGCCCTCTCAACATCCTCACCCACCCCTCCCCACCCACCCCTTCCCTCACTGTACTTAAATTTTGTAGGCTATATATTGGATTTTTACTGCATTCTCACCCTTCTTTTCATTTGTGTATCATCCCTCCCTTTGACCTCCCCCAACCCTTTCAAGTATCCATTTCCTAATGTTTGTTTTGCTGAACTATATTTATTTATTTTATTATTTATTTATGTAATGCTGGTAGTGGGGCTTGAACTCCCAGCCTGGGCACTTTTTCTCTCAAGGCTGTTGTTCTACTATTTGAACCACACTTTTACTTTCAGCTCCTTAGCTAATTGAAGACAAGTCTCGTGGTCTTTTTCAGACTGGCTTCAAACTTTCATCCTCAGATCTCAGCCTTTTGAGTAACTAGGATTACAAGCTTGAGCCACCTATACCTGGCAATGACAGTTTCTAAGCCCCTCCTCCCCAGACTGGCCCACATCAGGATTCTCAGTGAAGTGGTCAGGGTAGACCCTAAGGGCAGATCAAGGAAACACATATGAACTCAGTAGGAGGAAGAAGTGCAGAATTGCATGGTAAATGGTCTCCATCTCTACCAGCCTGTAGTGTATGGGCTAACCAGAGAATACCCACCACTCCAAGATAACTAAACTCTCTAGCAGACCACAAGGTCCTTCAGAATCTAGCTCTGCTTTCTCTCTAGTCCCTCCTTCCAGGCTCCCACTCCCAGAATTTAATCTGCTGTCGTTGGCCTCTTCTCTCCAAGATGGACCTCTCTTATTTCCCCAAACATGCCAGGTTCTGGAGATGTTTTAGCCTTCTGCATTTGCCTCTCCCCTTCAGATCACAGTCTGGCCTGCTTTTCCCTACTCTTAGCCTGATCAATTCCCAGTTATTCTTTTTTTTTTTTTGGTTGTGGGGCTTGAACTCTGGGCCTGGGCGCTGTCCCTCGGTTCTTCAGCTCAAGGCGAGCGCTCTACCACTTGAGCCACAGCGCTTCTGGTTTTCTAGTGGTTTATTGGAGTTAAGAGTCTCATGGAGTTTCCTGTCCGGGCTGGCTTTGAACCGTGATCCTCAGATCTCAGCCTCCTGAGTAACTAGGATTACAGGCGTGAGCCACCATCGCCCGGCTGTCCCAGTTATTCTTCAGGTCACTGTTTAGAAGTCAACCCTAAAGTTCCCTCTAACCTTCACAACTGAATGACGTGCTTGTTTTCTCTTCCTTCTCTACCTCATATGGAAATTCCTCCCTAGCTATCCCCCCTAAGATCTGATGATATACTTTGTGTTTGTAAGTACCAAGTTGAGTTCTTGAGTTATAATGAGCTTCTTCCTTGCTGTTGTCCCGTGACACTAGGAAGTCCTCCATGACCCAGAGGCTGGCACTTAGTGGTTGCTCAATTAGTGTCTGGCAATGAATGAATAGCAATGCCCTGGCAGGAAATGAAACAGTTAGTCTCAGGAGGCAGTGAGTCTCAGTCATGACAACTTTTCCTTCACATGGAGACTAATTCACACTACAGAGAAAATGGCGGGGGGGGGGGGGGGGAAGGGGGGGGGTGGAAAGTGGCATGGGTGAGTACTGAAGCTTGAACTCAGGGCCTGAGCATTGTCCTCTATTGTGTTATAGCTCCACTTCTGGCTTTTTGCCTGGGTTGGCCTCAAATTTTGATCCTCAGATCTCAGCCTCCTAAGTAGCTAGGATTATAGATGTGAGCAACCAGCAGCTTTCTCACCTCCAGAGATCTTGAAGGTAGAACTGAAGAGTGTGGGATGTGATGCATGGCCCCATATGTCTTCTGATAGAAAGATAATAGGGCTCATGACTGGCTAGGAACTAGAGAGGATCCTTGATAGAGCTGATCACAGTTGTTTGTAGCAGCTTTTGTTCAGGGAGGTAAAGGAAAATCATAAAAAGAAGCAACAGGCAGGAGGGAGGAAGGAGACTGAATCTCAGGTGCCTTCAAATCCACAGTCCACTTCTGTGATACTAGCTACTGCACTCCCAGGACTTGCCAGGACTGTCTGCAAAGGTGAAGCAAGTTTCCAAAGTTCTAGCTCTCCAAATATTTTGTGGGTACAACCCTTACCACCACATTGAGCCAATCAAGCTGGTTGCATTCAATGCTTGCTATATACGTCAGGATCCAGGGGAGTAGAGCCATAGTTTTAGTCTGACTTTTCTCAGCTCTCTGGGACTTGGCCATGTCCAAGGCTCTCTGGCCATTGTTTTCTTGTTGGTTGGTTGGTTGGGTTTGTTATTTTTTTTGTTATTGTGCGGTACTGAGGCTTGAATTCACGGTCTTGTATTCTCACTTGGCGTGTGTGTGTGTGTGCACGTGCGCACACACGTGTGTGTGTATGTGCGTGTGCATGCACTCACTCATGCCAGCCCTGGGGCTTCAACTCAGATCATGAGCACTCGCCCCTGCACTTTTTTGCTCAAGGCTACCACTTGAGTTATAGCTCTATCTCTATAGACTGTCATGGATTCTTCTGCCTAAGCTGGCTGGCTTGCCATGGTGATAGATAGACTGGCAAAAGGCCAGTATGTGTATTTCTACAAGATAAGCCAGGAGCTGGTACAGTGCTCTAAACTCCAGGATAGATTGCCTTCAGAGATGCCTAGGAGGTTGCTTGGCTTTCTACAGTCTACTGCTGAAGCACGTGTCTTTCCAAAATGTTTTCATAGTGTTCAAGGACAGAATTCAAAGTGTGACTAGACCACTTTAGCTCCTCAGAGTGTGGGCTTCCTGGGTCAGAGAGACCCAGTATGTACTGGGCAAGTCCAGGAAAGCTGTGCTGCTGATTAGCTGGGTGGATTTAGGAAAACCCTTTCTCCTCTCTGAACCTCAGATTCCTCCTGTAGAAATGAAGGAGTGACTCCAGGTGTGAGTGGCTGTGCAGGTCATTCTAGCTAATCAGGCATTGGAGATCTGAGGAATGTTTTTCCAAGTGAGCCCAGGAAGGTAAGTTCATGAGACTCTCTCTCTCTTTTTTTCTGGTCAGTTGTGGAATTTGAATTCAGCACCTGGGCACTGTCCCTGAGCTTTTTCGCTCAAGGCTAGTGCTCTACCACTTTGAGCCACAGCACCACTGCTAGTTTTCTGGTGGTTAACTAGAAATGTAAGTATCACAGACTTTCCTGCCTGAGCTGGCTTTGAATCTCAATCCTCAGATCTCAGCCTCCTGAGTAGCTAGGATTACAAGTGTGAGCCACCAGCACTCAGCCCATGAGACTCATCTCCACCAAAAAGCTGGAGTTGGAGCTATGACTTAAATAGTTGAAAACTCTGGCACCTTAAGCAAAAAAAGCTAAGGGACAGCTCCCAGGCCCTAAGTTCAAATCTCATTACTGGTACCAAAACATAAAAGGAGTAACTAGAATAGTGTTTTCTCATCTTCCTATGAATCAGGATCATCTAGATAGGGGCAAGGCAATGAAACTTGAAAAACTAAGGATTCTCATTCTAAAGCTAAATACCTGAACCCCCAGGAAGGAGAGAGTGGAGAAGCCTGTTCTCAAGCCCTGGCTCCTAACTTCAGTCCCAATCTAGGAGCCTCTAAAGCCTCCCTGGCCTCCCCCAACAAGGAACTCCTTTAATGCAATAGCCAGGCTCTGGAGGCTCACACCTGTAATCTTGTAATCAGGAGGCTGAGATCTGGAATCATGGTTCCAAGCCAGCCTAGGCAGGAAAGTCCATGAGACTCTTATCTCCAATTAACCACCAGAAAACTCCAAGTAGCACTGTGGCTCAAGTGGTAGATCACTCACCTTGAGCTAAAGAGCTAAAGGAAAGTGTCCAGGCCCAGAGTTCAAGCCCCACAACCAAAAAAAAAAAAAAAAAGATACAATGCAATGACCCATCCCTTCTCTCTTTCCAACTTCTCAGCTCTCTTGGATGAGGGCTGGAGTAAGCTAAACCACCACTTCTTCTCTCCTAAGAGATCTGGAGCACCTGAAGCACTAGTCAGTGAGCAGTTTATTACCCATCAATCTGTCCCCAGCTTCCCAGCATTGGAGCCTGCACACAATCTGGACATCATCTTCACCCCCAGTCAGGTCTGGCACTCAGCTTCAGTCTCTGCCCCATCTCTTCTTCATCTTCCACTTTCTCCCTTCCCTAGCCCTTCAAGGCAGCACCAGACAGGCCTAGAGCCTCAAACCTCAGCTGACAGAGGGAGGCAGAAGCTGGGGAAAGAGAAAACAGAGTTGGCCCAAGATTCCGGAGCCAGTGTGCCAGGAAGGAGGGCACGAGGCAGGGTTGAGGCCAGGGCTACGGTGGCCAGATGTGGTTCACGCAGGAGGCTCTTCTCCAGAAGGAGCAGGAAAACCACTCAGGTCTCGGCCAATGATCTCGCTCACTGCAAATAAAGGGCAGTTGAGAGACTGGGCTAAGGGTAGGTCCTTTCATTTTCTAGAGACCCCAATCGATTCCAGGAAGTCCTCAGTCTAGGACACCTCTGGGCTCCTCTTCCACTAGGCCTCAGTTTTTCCCCTAACTCAGTTTTCCATCTGTGTGGGCTCCTATGCTACCACCCCAGCTGGTTTCTGGTGGCTTGGCAGTATCAGAGAAGTAAGTGACAGCAGAGTCAGATGTAGAAAGGGAGAAAACAGGAAGGTCCTGACCACAGTGACCATGTGGAGGGGAAAGGTAAGACAAGGGAAAATGAACCTCTCTGGGAGCTCAGCAAACCCCACCCCTCTACAAGGTGTAATTCTTGACTCTACAAACTTAGGACACTAGATGCATTGACACTGAAAGTACTTCTAGCTCTGAGATTTGGTGGTTTGGGGCAAAGGGCAGAGCTGGGAAAGGCACTCCATGAGCTCTTCCAAATTAACTTACTGGCTTCAGGTGGCCACACACACCAAGAACTTGTTCCTGGGCCCCTATAACTGGCTTGAGGATCAAGGATGCCCAATCTGAGAAGTTAAGCTCCACCACCAGCAAACAGGCTGAGCAATCTCACACCCACTCACACAGGCCCCCAGTCCCACACCCACCTTCCTCCAGCGTGATACCCTGGATAGGGACACTGTCTCGGAAGCTGCTGCTGCTGTAGCCACCTCTGGATTTCTCCCGCTCTGGAGCCTCCTCTCCAGGGCCATAGCCTGGCCCAACCTCATTGTACCCCTCAGCAGGTAGAGGATGAACACTACTTTGGGGAGGGAAGGGGACTTCAATTGGTGGGGAAGAAGGAAGTGGCGGCCGGAAGGGGGCTGGAGGAGGGAATGGAAGCCCCATGGGAAAAGAGGAGCCCCGTCCTCCATATAAATCATTAGGGAAGGGGCGGGGAAGGAAGGAGATGGGAGGTGGGCGGCCACGGCCTCCCGTCTCAGGGAACATCCGCAGGCCTGGTCTATAAGATGGTGGGGGTCCTGTTTGGGGATACAGAGGGGGTGTGCCATAGCCGAAGCCATCTGACAGGTAAGGAGTCTCATAAGCAGGGTCTTCATGGGGATAGGAGGGGTATGGGGGCCTCGGTGGTGAGAAGTCCATATCAGAGCCAAATTGGGGGCCAGGTGCTGAAGGGAAACCCGGAAGAGTTGAGACTGGTAGGGGCTCCTCCTTGAAGATCACTAGGAAGTTGGAGAACAACACAATGGTTAGAATCTAGCAACATCCCATAACTCTATACACATACATCTCCAACCATCAACATCCCTCATCTCTCACAATGGGCTACTGCATCTCTCTGCTCCCATATCCTTTCACCCCACAATGGGCTGTCATAAAGCGCACCAGGCAGAAACTTGAAACTCTGGGTAGGACTGCGCTTCCTCCGCCCATTGGAAACATAAAAGTAGACCTGGACTGGTCGGGATACCCGTTTGTTGCTGTACTCAGGGACAGTCAGAGTCAGAGTCACCTGGGGAAGAACAGAGGGTAAGACAAGAAGTCCTCAGGGATCGGAAGCTGGAAGTCCAACCTTTCCAAAGACCCCAAACTTACCTTCTGTTTTGTTTTTTTTTTTCCATTTGCTAAAGAGCAAAGTTTATTCCCTAAAGATGAACCTTGCCTCCAGAGCAGCCAGACCCTTCTAAGAAAGAGGAATCTACTCCCATAGGCAAGGAGATTTGTTTGTGAATCTTCTGACATCCCACCCTTTACCCGCTTTCCTATGCATGGGCTCCTCAGGGACATTGGTACCTCGTTGCTCTGCAGTCGGTTCACTGTGGCCTCCTCCTCCCATTGCAGCTTTCCATCTATACAGAGGGAAGAGAGAGTTCCAGCCCTGTCTCCTGCCCTGGTCCCTGGCTACTTTTCCCTCCTCCTAGAGTCAGATTTTTTTTTTAAGGGGGGCAGTCAGTCATGGAGCTTGAACTCTAGGCCTGGGCCCTGTCCCCCAGCAATTCAGCTCAAGGCTAGTGCTCTACCACTTGAGCCACAGAGCCACTTCTGGTTTTCTGATGGTTTATTGGAGATAAGAGTCTCACGGACTTTTCCTGCCTGGGCTGCCTTTGAACCTCGATCCTCAGCCTCCTGAGTAGCTAGGATTACAGGCATGAGCCACCAGTACCCAGCCAGCATCAGATTGTAAAAGTCCTTGGTAGGTCTGGCACCGAGTCTACTATGTGTTTACCCAATCGTATGGAAAATGTAGGTTTGTTTGTTTGTTTATTGTGCTAGTGCTGGAGCTCAAACTCAGGGTCTGGGAGCTTTTCCTTAGCTATTTCACTTAGGGCTGACATTCTACCACATGAACTACAGCTTCATTTCTGGCTTTTTGGTGGTTCATTGGAGACAAGAGTTTCACTGACATTTCTGCTATGTTGGTTTTGAATAGTGATCCTCAGACCTCATTCATACTACAAAGTAGCTGGAATTACAGGCGTGAGCCACCCTGGCCCAGTAAGGAAGTCTAATGACTTGGAACCTCTGGAGATGTGCAGACAGGGTGCCCAGGGTGCTGCCAAATGTGGGTCTAAGGACTGGGGCTCTTGGTGAGAAGACTGAGGGAGGAGAAAGGCCATAGTTGGGGCTAGCTGGGATCCTCAAGTCCTTCTTTCCTTAACCTCTATAACTCTATCTTAGGAACCTCGCAAGATCCCTCTCTCTCTTTTTCCCCCCAGACTGAGGACCAAACTCAGGGCCTTGCGCTTGGCAGGCAGGCGCTCTTCCGCTGAGCTAAACCCCCAGCCCCTCACAGGATGTCATAATCATATCTGTGCTGCTTATGTCCCACAACTGAGGAAAGGTCCAGGCAAAGCTGCCAGGATGGGAATCACCCCTTTCTTCATATACTTCATTTATCAACATGGGGGTGAGTTCTCTCAAAACCAACTCCTCCTTAATAAACAAGTTGTATATTTCTTACAATTCTTCTTCATTGTCAGTGTTCAAGATAAGGAAACTCCTTACCCATGTAACTGTAACCCCTCTGTATGGTATTTTTATAATATGGGCCTGGGAAGGTGGCTCAGTGGTAGAGTGCTTGCCTCACATGCAGGAGGCCCTGGGTTCGATTCCTCAACACTACACAGGCAGAAAAAAACTAGACATGGCTCTGTGGCTCAAGTAGTAGAGCATTAGCCTTGAGCTGAAGAGCTGAGGGACAGCGCCCAGGCCCAGAGTTCAGGCCCCGTGACCGACAAAAAAATAAAACCAAAAACCAAAAAAACAAATACAATAAAAAACATATAAAAAATATAAGGAAACTGAGGCTCAACTGAACAGTATAAGGAAACTGAGGCTCAACTGAACAGTTCAAAGCTGTTTCTGCCTGCCCTCCTCTCCCTAGGGCCTACTCACCAGGTCCTCTCTCAATGAACACCACCTTGGAGTCTGGCAGGAAGTTGGAGCCAGTCAGCACCAGTTCTTCCCCTCCTCTCACAGAGCAGGCACTAGGGCTGTAAGTCTCCACCTGAGGCAGCTCCTGGGCTGAGCGCTGGGCTGCAGAGCAGGGCAAGAAAGAGGCCTGGCTGAGCTGGGTATGAAGGGGACAACCTCCTCTGCCCCCTGCCCTCCTCAGGATACCTGCCATAGCCCCCAGGGGAGACCTCTGGAGAAGCACACACACAGCGAACCCAGAGTATACCTGAGATCCCTCACACCACTCTCGCTTCTGTGTATGCGTGCCCGTACTAGGGCTTATATTCAGGCCTGGGCACTGTCTCTTAAGCTTTTTGCTCAAGACTGGTACTCTGCCACTTGAGCCACAGCTCTATTTCTGGCATTTTGGTGGTTCATTGGAGATAAGAGTCTCTTGGATATTCCTGCCCAGGCTGACTTTTTTGTATGTTTGTTTTTTGTTTGTTTTTTCTTTTTTCCAGAGCTGAAGACCAAACTCAGGGCCTTGCCCTCGCCAGGCAAGTGCTCTTCCACTGAGCTAAACCTCCAGCCCCTCCAGGCTGGCTTTAAACAGCAATCCTCAGATCTCAGCCTCCTGAGTAGCTAGGAGCCACTGGCAACCTGCACAGGACTACTCTTGAAACATGAATAAACAAGGCAGCCCAGAAAGTTACCCAAACAAGTACACAGGCCAGCCCTGTGCAGCTATGACACACAGTCACTCTGGGCTAGCCCAGGGACAAAGTCTGAGGTAGACATCACCCTTACCACTCCCACATCCATGGTAGAAACGAGGGCTGAGTCCTCTCTGGGAGTACCCAGGACAGACAGGGCATGAGAGGGATACTATGTAAAGGAAACGGGTGACAGAGAAACAGACAAGAGAGTTGCAAGCGATAGAAAGAGGGTCAGAGCCTCTTTGCTCACAGCACTCGATGGGCACGGATGCAGCCTGCACAGAAACGACCTTCCCGCCGCCCTGAGGCACATGTACTCGGAACACCAGCCGCACTCGTGTGTTCTTACGCCCGATGTCTGTCTCACCCTTCCGCAGCTCAATGTCTGAATTCCGAAGCTTCAGGATTCCAGCACAGTCAATGCTGAGGGTACAAAAGGGTGGACAAGCTCCTCTAGGGGAAGCCAGAACAGTAATGCATCCCTAAAGAGGGACGTTCATGCCCTCTATCCAAAGCCCTGAGACCATCTAAGGGCACCGAAGAAGACTATTTTCTAATCCAGAGATAGTCTCTTCAAAGTGCTCCTCAACCATAAAAAGGCCTTTCCAGGATGGCAAGAAGGCTAGAAATTGGTTCTTGGTGATTATGTCCAGTTCTTCTGGGAAGAGGAAGAAGTACGCCTCATTGGTCCTAAATCTTACGTATTGAGGGAATGTTGAACAGAGACTTACTTGGCAGCCATGTTGTTCTCAGGGAGCAAGGTCATCTCCAACACTTTGGTACCACTGACTACAGCTTCATAGCTGGCTGTGGCCACCATCTTGCCTGTGATACGATGTACTTGATAGAAGGCATGAGGCCTCAGGTTCCTTTCATCTGCAGTGCCGATGAACATCTGTAGAGTCAGTGGCTTCTCACTATAACCTAGGAGCTGGCAGAGGGAGACAGAGGCCACCTAACTGAAAGCTTCACTGTTTTATGCTTTATTCACACCTGGATTTTTGGTCCATCAGGAGGTAGGAATGGTAAAAAATAAAAGATATCCTAGAAGGGATGGGGAGGGGTAAGGGAACTGGGTACCAGTTGTGGAGAAAATGTGGCCTGGAATTCAAAGTGTTGTTCTTGGAATAAAGCCTAAATAGGCTGGGCAAAAGAGGAAGAGCTTCCAAGAGACTAAACTAGGCCCAACTCAATATAGAGAAAAACCTAACTCCCAATGACCTTTGATCTCAGCTAAACCCTTCCCCCATATCTGGCAGGCTACCATTTCCAAAGTAGACTGGAGGCTGATGTCCCATGGGATGAGTTGAGAGGGGGTGGAAGGACAAAAGAGTAAAAAGTATATCCGGGTCCTTGAAGTGCATCCCCCCCCCACTGGCCCCAGCTCCAGTCCCTCCCCTCCCCTCCCCAAGGCTGCCTGCAGGGTCAGAGCTGAGAAGGAGTGTGGGAAAGGGCAGTGCCATGGGTCTGTACAGTGAGAGTCCATCTGCAGGGATCTGGGATGGAAGAGGAGAAAGAACATCTGGCCTGCCTTCCATCCCTTACCTTGACAACGGGGTGACCACCAGGAGCAGCTTTGACAGCCCCTCGGCTGCCTTCTGTCTCATAATGGGCCCTGTGGTGAGCTCTAGGCTGCACTTCAATCCTCAGCTCCAGCTGCTCATACTGACTAGGCAGAGGCCAGTCCAGTGGGGGGAGGGCAGAGGTCCTGGGAAGGAGAGAACCAAAATGATCAGCCACAGCTCAGATCCCAGTCAAGACCGCATTGAGTATATGAGGGAAAGAGGAGGGTGCAGGATGGGAGAAAGAATAAAACCACAGCAAACCCCCAAAACCCTATGTGTGGGGTATATAGGAGACAGGACTCCTTAGAGATAGGATGGAGGATGACAACAGCCCTGAGATTCCCTACTTCCCTGAGCACAAGGTTTGGGGTTTGCATAGGGATGCTTCACTTGAGTACAGAAGACCCCAAAGCCCCTTAGATCTGAATGGACATAAGTCAGGACCTCAGATATGAACTCTTTTGTTTTACAAATAAAGAAATGGGTCCAGCAGCCACTGACAGAAGCTAGGACAAGACACTTTCTGCCCCCCCCCCTCCCAGACAGTTCTCTTTCTACTAGCTAGGGATAGAGAGGTAGAGTTCTAGGAGTTAAGGGGTTTCAAATGAGGTGATCTTTCCGAATTATGCTCCTAGATTCCCTCTGCCTGGGATCTTAACTGATAATTATCCCTCACATATTTGACATTATCTAGAAACATTTTTGGTTGTCACAACTAGTGTAAAGGATCCTACAGCATATACAGGATCCCCTAATAGTAGAGGCCAGGGGGGCTGTTAAACCATCCTACAATGTCCAGCTTAGTCCCCCATAATGAATTATCTAGCTCTACAGATCTGTACTGCTCAAGTTGAGAAGCTATGAACTCTAGAGGATACAATAGTTAGGTTTCTTCCTTCTAGAAATTTTTCTGGATGTGGCCAACCAGCCCAGTCTGACATCTCAAGGTTTAGAAATATCAAAATGGGGGGCTGGGCCGGGCGCTGGTGGCTCACGCTTGTAATCCTAGCTACTCAGGAGGCTGAGATCTGAGGATCGTGGTTCAAAGCCAGCCTGGGCAGGAGAGACCGTGAGACTCTGATCTCCAATAAACCACCAGAAAACCGGAAGTGGCGCTGTAGCTCAAGTGGTAGAGCGCTCGCCTTAAGCTGAAGAGCTGAGGGACAGCGCCCAGGCCCAGAGTTCAAGCCCCACAACCGACCAAAAAAAAATGGGGGGCTGGGAAGGTGGCTTAGTGGTAGAGTGCTTGCCTTGCATGCATGAGGCCCTGGGTTCGATTCCTCAGCACCACATAAGCAGAAAAAGCCAGAAGTGGCACTATGGCTCAAGTGTTAGAGTGCTAGCCTTCAGCTGAAGAGCTGAGGGACAGCACCCAGGCCCAGAGTTCAGGGGGGGAGGCGGAGAAAAGAAGAAAGAAGAAAGAAATACTAAAATGGGCAGAATAAGGCTGGGAACATAGTTTAGTGGTAGAGTGAATGTCTTGCATGCATGAAGCACTGGGTTCCATTCCTCAGTACCACATAAACAGAAAAAGCTGGAAGTAGAGCTGTGGCTCAAGTGGTAAGAGTGTTAGCCCTGAGCAAAAGAAGCTCAGGGACAGTACCCAGGCCATGAGTTCAAGCCCCAAGATGGCAAAAAATAAAATAGAAGGGGTAGAAATGCAGGTTTAAATATAAATTTGCGTGTGCATGTGTGTGGTTCTGGGGCTTTGAGGGCCTGGTTTTTGTCCCTGCGTTCTTCAGCTCAAGGCCGGCCCTCTACCACTTGAGCCACAGTACCACTTCCGGTTTTCTGGTGGTTAATTGGAGTTAAGAGTAGCTAGGGTTACAGGTGTAAGCCCCTGGCACCTGGCTTCACTTCCAGCTTTTAAGCTGGTAACTGGTTTTGAGTCTCATGGACTTTTCCTCAGACTGGCTTTGAACAGCAATCCTCAGATCTCAGCCTCCAGAGTTGCTAGGATTCCAGATGTTAACTGCCAGTGCCTAGCTAATGAGTTCTTTGACTTGCAAATACATGCTACGTTATTCAAATTAACAAGTAGGATCTCAAACCACTAGGTTAAGTCCTAGAAAGTAAAGGGGGAAAATTTCATGTAACAATGTAGGGTTAGCATCTGTCTAAAGGATCAGATCCGAAGGCTGAAATTCAGCCCAAATTCTGTACCTACCAAACAATGTGTCAGGACACACCTGCCAGTGTGAGGAAAACTAGAATTCTGCCGTTACCTAAACTGTAGCTGTTGCTCTTCAAATTGCCAGTCTAGAAACGCACATCCCCCCACCCCTTTTTATTTCCAATGTCCTTAAAATCAGGTAGATGGCAGGGGCACTGTGGTTGCACATGCTTTTTTGAAGCATGGAACACATCCTTTGACCCTCCCACTCCCTCGGTGGGATGGTTGGCAAGAGAGGGAATGCAACCCTCACCTAAAGATGGGGCTGTGTCCCCCAATCCGAGCCTTGGACCAAGCCAGGGGAGAAGGCACCGCCAGGTAGTCCATGCCGGCCACTTCCTTCCGGGGACCCCCAGGAGGAGCCCCCGTCTCCTCGGCTCCTGAGGGCAGCTTCCCATTGCATGAGGCAGGCTCCTCGGACCGAGGCAGGGCCACTGCTTGCTCGCTGGAAGTCCGCCGGGTCTTCTGGGGGATACTCTCAGCCGGTGGGGCTCCCACGTAATCAAAGGGACCAGGAGAGACAGGGTCCCGGGCCAGAGGCAACGGCGGTGGTGGTGGTGGCTCTGATCCCTCTTCCCCCAGGCTGCCACGCCGGGACAGGGCTGGGGAGGCCGAAGATGGGGTTCCGGAGCTGGAATAGCGCCTCTTGCCACAGGGAGAGGCTGGCCGCGGAGAGGCTGGGGTGGGCCCAGGAGCGCTGAGGAGTAGCCAGCTATCCTCTGGCCCCCGACCTCCGGGGCTGGGGCCGTACAGGCTCCAGGGATCCTCTGGGGTCCATGGCCTGGGGGAAGCCCGGGGGGAGGGCAGCGGGGAGCCCAGGCCGAAGCGAGAGGCCGCCTCGTTCAGCTCAGACTCCACCTCATCACAGGCGGCGTACAGGGCCGCCTCGTCGGAGGCGTCGGAGAAGAGACTCCACGAGGACAGGCTGCTGCTGCCCGGGCTCGGGCTGAAGAAGGCTCCTCCGCCCTGGCCACCTGCCTCTCGGTAGCCCCCAAAGCCTTCTACTGGGGGGTAGTCTCTAGGCGAGCCGTCCCCCCAGGCGTCAGCGTTGTCCTCCAGCGGGGCCGGAGGGTCAGGCGTGGGAGAGATGGAGGTGATTCGGATGCTGGGACACTCAAGGACTCGGCCGCCCCCAGCGCCCCCAGCACTCTCTCCGGGTCCCCCCAGCCTCACCGACCGGGCAGGCTGGCTCTCCCAGGTGCCCGGCGAGGGCGCGGGGCGGGGCGGTGGAGAGTGCATGCCAGGCCGAGGCGGGGGAGGTCGGGGGATGCCAATAGGGGTAGCACCGTAGGGAGGGGGCTCCCCCAGGGCCAGACGGCAGCATGGCGGGGCATCCTCGGAGTCCAGTTCTGTCGAAATGGGAAGGAGGAAAGAGAGACCCGGTGAGAGGTATAGGTTCTCCCCAAGTTCTGCCAGATGCAGCTAGAAGGGGTCTCTGAGAAGCCCTTCAGACAGACAGACAGACACATACACACACATACGCGCGCGCGCGCACGCACAGCCAAGTTGGACGGCAGAGGATGGAAAAGAGAGGAGCTGGCGTGCCAAGCCTTTCTCGGCGGGCAGACCCTCACACTCTGAGCCCCTGGCCCAGGGACCCAGGGTACAGAAGAGGCGGGTCCCTAGATGAGGGAGGTGGGTAGGAAGGGCTGGAGCCAGGCCTGCAGGCGTGTTTGGCGAGGCTCTGGGCTGGGCTGGGGGCGACTCACACACATGAACCCAATTAGTAGCGGTTCTCAAACCCCCAAATGGAGCTGGCAGGAACCCCGGTCACCATCGCAACCGTGGCGGGATGGGGTGCCAGGGAAGGGGAGGGGGAAGGAGGCATGGCTGTGGTGACGAGGGGAATTGGCTCCTCCCTCGCTCCCCCAATCTGGGGGCGGAGGTGCAGCCAAGGGGGGTGATGCGTGCAGGGCCCAGCGTGGGAGGGGGGCAGCGGGCAGCACGGATTCCGTGCGAGAGGCAGCCGCCGCCCCCGGCTCGATCCCCGCCATCTGCCTCTCATTGTGGCCAGACGGGGGAGGGGGAGGGGCGCCCCAGCGCGGCCTGTGAGCACCCCCCAGCACCGGGAGTCCCGTCGGCTAGACCAGGACTCCATCCGCCAGGGACCAGTTCCAGAGCCAAACTACCCCCCTCCCCTGGCGGCACCCCGGCTCTTGGGGCCACGGTTCCCACCCCCCCCACACACCCCACCGCCCATCCCAGTGATAGGCGGCCGTGCCGGAGGCGGCGCGCGGCCAACGGCACCCCCACCCCCACCCGAGTCACGACCTAAAAAGGAAAAAGCGGTGCCACGGCCCCCGCCTCACTTCTGTAGACTAGCTTCTGCCCCGACACCCCTCAACTTCTGATCCCCCCCACTTCCCCTGACTAGCTGTCCTGAAATCTCTAGACTCTGCATCCCCACTGACCACCAGACCCCTTCCCAGTCCCGCACTAACCTTCCCCAGACCCCCCGGCGCCCAGTGGGGGGGCCTCCTTTTCCTCCCCGAACACCAGCTTAAATTCCAGCTCCTCATCCTCGCAGCTCGCTGCCCCCATGGATCCGGCCAGACCCCCAGGTCGCGCCCTGGGTGGGAGGGGGGCGCTCAGGAGGCTGCTGTGTCTTCACGCACACGGCTCCCTCCCTCCCCTTTTCTCAGAGCCCCCTCCTCCGTCGCTGCCGCCTCCTTCCGGATGCCCCCTCGTTATTATAGAAACTTTTCCAAACTTTTTCCCCCTAAACTTCTTCAAAGCGGGCCCCCCCCCCCCAGCTACCCACTGATTGGCTACCCAGGATGCTCCGGCCCCTCCTCCGGGGATGAGATGGGAAAACCACGCGCCCCCAGTCCTCCCCCACCCTCCCGCCCTCAATCCTCTCTCCAGTTCCTCCTCCCTCTCAAAAAAAAAAAAAACTGAATTGAAAAATGGTCCCTTCCAGCGTGCTCCGACCCCACGGAGGCCTACGGGCCCGCAGTGGTGACACGCTTCCCACCGGGAGCCCAGCCCCCCACCTCCCTCAATCTCGGTTGGGGGGCTTTGGGTCCTGGCGCCTTAAATCGGCCATAGTCTGGGCACTCCGTGTAGAGGGTCCTCGGAAAACCTAAGGCTTCTGTCGCCAGCATCTGGCAAGGAAGGACCACCTCTCCACCCCCTTTTCCTTCAAGCCTGCAGCCAGACGGGCTCTGGGGGTACAGAGGCTCTAGGCTGCTGAGGGCACGGCACGCTGCCAGAAGACCCTTCTGGAAGCCTTTGCCCTCTCCAGTCAGCAGCTCCACACACCATCCCTCCGCATCCCCAGAAGATGAAGCACTTTTAGCAGGCCTAAGAGCCTCTCGGAATGGTCAGTGACTTGTCAGGAGAGTCCAGCAGGCGTTGGGAACCATTCAAAGGCCCACAACCCGGATACGTGAAGATCCAGGCCGGGATTTGTCGATACCCTTGTCCCAACCACCCAGAGAGGCCATTAATTAGCCTCCTAGAGAAGTCGGCCCCCTCCTCCTCCTCCCTGGAACTGTAGTTTGGAACGAATCTCGAGTCCGCTGGCCTCTGGCTATGTTTCTCCGAAAACTCCTGGCCAGGTTGAGTGGGGGACCCTGGGCCTTCAAACCTGGTGGGCCCTAGAACTAGACACCTGTCACCTGGGCAGGGAGGGAAAGACCCGGACTGGAGTTTCCAGGAAGACCAGGCCGAGGGGGGGGGTGCGGGGGGACGTTCCCGTTGTGTGAGAGGGCGTGGCGTGAGAATTCGGTGTCTCCAGACTGTCGATGATGATGATGGGGGGGGGGGGAGGCTACCATTCTCCTCCCTCCACGCTTGCACCCCCAAGCTTTAGACTTCTCTCGGAGGCCGCACCAAGCTCGAGTTTCCAAATCCTGGTAGTCTGGGGCCGCCCCCCCCAGACGCACAGACACACACCTCCTAGCACCCACAGCCCCGCACCAGAAGGGTTAATCGGCCGCCCTCGGGTCAGACGTTTACAAACACTCGGGAGCAGGGCGGGGACCGCGCCCGGTGCTCTAATGAGAAACAGGCTGTGAGGGGCAGAGGGAAGGGGGGGAGGCTGGCCCGGGCCCGAGCTCCTCCGCGACAGAGGCGGCTCCCCTCCTTCTCGTTCGTCCTGCCCCGGGCCCGCCCAGGGGACAACCCCCCCCCAGCCCCCGGGGACCCCAATGACGCGCAGAGCAGCGGCGCTCGCGGGAGGGAGGACGGGGGGGGGGGGGGGGGGAGAGGCGGGCCTGCGGCTCGGGAAGAACGTTCCGCACCCGTCTGGATGGATTTTTTTCCCCTCCTAGGTTGGTCTCAGGTTACATTTCCCTTCCAGCTTCATCTCGGAAATAAAGGAGAGACCTCGAGACCGTCTACCAGCCCGCCCCTCCGAAAGGGGCTCGCGAAGGGCAGTGGAGAGCGCGCCGGAAACTCAGACCCAGCCCCGCCCCCCCCCCACGGCCCCCCCTCCCGCCGCCCCCCTCCCCCCCCCAGCTCAGGCAGACGCGCACATTCCTTTCAAATGTCATATTCCCTTTGATCCTGGGCAGCGTTGCTCCAGTGTGGGGTTCGGCTTCTGCCCCAGTACCCCCACCCCCGTCCCGCCCCCTCCCCTTTGTTTTCCTGAAGAGCCCCCCCCCCCCCCAGCATCTGGAAGGCCCTGAGGGCTGGCGTCGGCCCTTCTCCACCAGCCGATTCTGGCTTCTCCTCCTGGTGACTCAATTTCCACTCTGCGGTGTTGGGGCGGGCAGAGGGGGAGAGTTGTTTAGCCCAAGTGTGGTACGACAGAGTCCAGAGACAGCGCGGAACTGGGGCGGGGGGCGTGCATCCCCTTCGTCTCTGCAATCACTCCAGCCGGGCTGGGCTTCTGCGCAGGGTGGAACGTACGACTCCCGACTCCCGGACAGGTCTGGCCTGGTGCCGGAGCCCGGGGAGAGCCGGTCGTTGGGGGACCCGGTTGCCCAGCATGCTGCCCCCTAGTGACCACGCCGGTCCAGCCACCGTTCCTTCCCAGTTCCCGGTTCCCCCCGCCGCCCACCCTCGCGGTCCTAGCTCTGCTGCCCCTCTAGCGCACACCTTGCCTTGTGGCATGCTTGCCTTCCGGTCTGTATTTTTACCGAAATGATTCAACAGTCTTGGGAATGAATCCAATTGCTAATTACACAAGATGCATTCTCTTTACACATAATCACACAAAAATTTGTGGTTGACAATTGTTGTTTTGGTTTGGTTTGATTTTTGTTTTTTTGTGGTTTTTTTTTTTTTGACGGTTTGTGGGGCTTGAACGCTGGTCCTGGACACTGTCCCTGAGCTCTTCAGCTCAAGGCTAGCTCTCTACCACTTGAGCCACAGCACCACTTCTAGTTTTCTGGTGGTTTATTGAAGAGTTTCACAGACTTTCCTGCCCGGGCTGGCTTTGAACCGTGATCCTCAGATCTGAGCCTCCTGAGTAGCTAGGATTACAGGCCACCAGTGCCCAGCCAGTTCAACGCTTTTTATGTATTTATTAACATGTATGTACACACAGGTTGTGTGTGTGTGTGGTGTGTGTGCCAGTACTGGGCCTTGAACACAGGACCTAGCTGCTGTCCCTTAGCTTATTTGCTTAAGACTGATGTTTTCCATTTGAGCCACACATAAACATCAGGCTTTTTGGTGGCTAGTTGGAGATAAGAGTCTCATGGACTTTCCTGACCCCATTGGCTTTGAACCTCAACCTTAAGATCTCAGCCTCCTAAGTAGCTAGATTACAGGCATGAGCCACTGGCACCATTCACATACATTCCTGACAGCCCCTCCTCCTCCAGTCAATAAATGGCAATGTGGCATGATTTCCCCACTCCTGTAATCCTAGCACTCAGGAGGCTGAGGCAGGAGGATGGAGCTGACTTGGTCTACACAGAAAAATCCTGTCTCGGGGATGGGAATGTAGCTCAGTGGTAGAGCGCTTGTCTTGCATGCATGAGGCCCTGGGTTCGATTCCTCAGCACCATATAAACACAAAAAGCCAAAGTGGCTTTGTGGCTCAAGTGGTAGAGTGCTAGCCTTCAGCTGAAGAGCTGAGGGACAGTGCCCAGGCCCAGAGTTCAAGCCCCACGACTGACAAAAAAAAGAAAGAAAAATCCGGTCTCAAAAATAAAGCCTCATGCAAGTGACTCACATATGTCATGTCAGCTACATGGTGTTCCAAGCCAGCCTAGTCCCAAGGCAGCCTGGGCAGAAAAAGTTCTGGAAGCTGCATCTCAATGAAAGATGCTGTTCATGCTAGTATTCACTCATCATCCCAGCTACTGAGCAAAGGGGGGAAAAATGGAAGTATCAGGGTTCAGGAATGCTGGGACAGGAAGCAAGACTCTTCCAGAAATAACCAGTGCAAAAGAAAAAAATGTAGAGGTGCCTTCATAGTAGAGTGCGTATCAATTGTCATGCCCTGAGTTCAAATCCCAGTATTTTCTACAATAAATAAATAAATAAATCGCTTGAGACTTTGTGTAATGTAAGTACCTGTGCATCTGGAATTGTTAATCAAAGTGCCTACCTTTTCCATTGATTAAAAAACAAAGTTCGGGTTAACTACATGTAGAAAACTAAAGCTAGATCCTTATATATCACCCTGCACCAGAATCAACTCCAAATGGATCAAAGACCTTGAAGTCAAAGCAGACACTCTGAAAACATTACAGGATGGAATAGGAGAAACCCTAGGTCTCCTTGGCTCAGGCCAAAATTTTCTGAATAGAGACCTGGAAACACAACAAATCAAAGAAAGGTTGGACAAATGGGATTGCATAAAGTTGCAGAGCTTCTGCAGGGCAAATGATATAGCTAGCAAGATCAATAGAAAGCCCACGGATTGGGAGAAGATCTTTACTAGCCATACAACGGACAAGGGTCTCATATCTAAAATATACTTGGAACTCAAAAAATTAAACCCCCCAACAACAAATCCTCAAAGAAACAACTGCCCAATAAATAAGTGGGTGAAAGACTTAAAGAGAAACTTCTCTGAAGAAGAAAGAAGGATGGCCAATAGACACATGAAGAAATGTTCAACATCCCTAGCCATAAAAGAAATGCAAATCAAAACAACATTGAGATATCACCTCACTCCAGTTAGAACAGCAAAAATCAAGAACTCTAACAACAACAGATGCTGGAGGGGATGTGGACAGAAAGGAACCTTACTTCATTGTTGGTGGGAATGTAAACTTGTTCAACCACTTTGGAAAGCAGTATGGAGGTTCCTCAAAAGACTTCACATAGAACTCCCCTATGACCCAGCAATCCCACTTTTGGGCATTTACCCAAATGTTTACAAACAAGACCACACTAAAGCTACCAGCACAACTATGTTTATTGCAGCATTATTTACCATAGCTAAGATATGGAACCAACCCAGATGCCCCTCAGTAGATGAATGGATCAAGAAGATGTGGTATATATACACAATGGAATTCTATGCCTCCATCAGAAAGAATGACATTGCCCCATTTGTTAGGAAATGGAAAAACTTGGGAAAAATTATATTAAGTGAAGTAAGCCAGGCCCAAAGAAACATAGGTCCCATGGTTTCCCTTATTTGCAATATCTAGTATATGTATGAGTTAAGCGGAAAAGGTCAGATAATGTGATGTCAGGAAAATGAACCCTTAGATATGTATTTTAATGTTTTTTTCTTTCATGCATGTGTTTCTAACGCATTTATAAGATTATTTCTTTGTTGCTTTGTATGTCCCTCCCCCACAGTATAACCCCTGCTTTCTCTATATTTGATGTCAGTATAACTTGTGGAGGAGATGGGGAAAAACCAGTTGTTT